TGCAGTCAATTATATATTATTTTTCCCGTTTCTCTCGGAGTAACCTGTAGAAGCTACTCAGATATACAGAAAACAGTCTGAATTGATATCCATGAGATTCATGAATTCAGCCTTGTTTCCCAGTTTTAACCTTACGTTCAATTTAGTGTCCACATAAGCTTGACTGTACAAATGGAAGACAGTTTATTTTTATATATTTTTTATACATACAATTCTCCCAGTGTCGCTAGATTGGTGATAGTTTTTCAGACACACAGATCAAGCTCATTAAATAAATCCGGCTTTCATCCCTGTATTAAAAAGATTTTATCAGTCTTAATACCCTTTTACTGAAATTAGTAATCGAGTAAGAGATTGGAATCATGAATTAAATTTGACCTGGTTATTTCATTTGTTGCTCTGAAGGGCGCCAGCATAGACTAGGGGTTTTCTCAGCACCACATGGTTCCGTTAGTACAGTCTCTGGGACTCCAGGTGTTTCGCGAATTTTCATTCATATACATATATTGTCTGAATATGATCAAATACTTTTGGGTTGCGTGAGACTATCTCCCTATCTTTCCATGGAACGCTGGTAGAACTGATATCGTTTTCTTCTTGGTAGCTATGCATGTTTTACGAAATTGAATTTTATATAAGGGGATAATACAGTTAGACTTTTACGTCTGATATCGCATAAGATGAAGGATAGTGCTGTAAATAAAAAGTCATGTAGTCTTAACTTAACTTAATATAGGTTTACCATACGTCCCGATTTAGGCGGGACAGTCCCACTTTTCAACGTCTTATCCCGGCGTCCCGACTGGTAAGCCAAAAGTCCCGCCTTGGCACTCAGCCAGTCAAAATATTTCACGAACATTATCAATTAGTATGTTCTCAATACTTTTGTTGCTGTGTAGCATACCGATAGCCTACTTACTGAATGTGGATGCGTGATTTTGACAGTTTCGTTGTTTTAATTGCTACAATTTGTACGCCAAAATGGTGCTTAACGTTAACGTAACTTCATTTCTTAATTTTCGATCTAAAACCGATATTTAGTCAGGCAGCGCACGAACTCTCGATGACAATATGGCCAATGAAGACAGCCGGGATGATTCTAAATGTAGGCCCCAAATGTAAAATCGATAGATTTGAAATTTTAAAAATCACAGCTGTGGTCTTTGGAGGCGTCCCGCTTTGAGGTCACAAAAATATGGTAACCCTAACTCTAGAAAGATATGAAAAATTTAACGAGTCACACAATTTTTGTGCTACGAAATTGAGCCACGAAAAACACGGTAAGAATCACTGGTATTATATAGACATTTCAAACGTTGATTAAACGTCTGATATCGTTTCATTATTACTAACTAAGAAGGTTTTACTAGATTGAATTTTATACGCCCAAGATGATGACTTTTTATTACATTTGGTATTTGCATAAACTAAAGAATAGTGCTGTAAATAAAATGGTTCCATACATTTGAACCCACGTACATTTGAACCCATGACAATTGCACCTGCATACTATTGCAACTATGGAAGTTTTTTTGTTTTACGGATATTTGAACCCATACTAACCCTAACCCATGGGGTTTAGCACCTGCATATAGATTGAACCCGCGAATATACGTGCTGGGTTCGGCCACCAAATAAAATGTTCGATCGATCTTTTGTATGTGTATAATTGCTCTGTTCTCTTAGCAATCGTTGTAGCTTATCGGAGTCAAGGAGCTTGTTTTAGTCATTTTTAATTTAATAAATTACCAGGATTAAAAGATTAAAGAGGAGTTCTTAGCCCTAATATTTCACTAAAACATCTACCGCGTAGTAACGTATCAATATGGAGCAGAACCTGTTCGGCTGAGCTGTAGGATAGTGCTGTGAATGAAATTCTCAATCGATGTTTTGTATGTATATAATTGATCAGCTCTCCGAGTAATAGTCAAGGCAGGCATTTATCTTAGCTTGTTTTAGTGAAGACTGTTATGTGAAGACATGAAAGTTATTGTAGCTTTGCAAGTCAACATTTTTTAACCGGGAAGGAATTCCTCCTCAAGAAACAATGTAGTTAGTTATATAGGATAGCGCAAGTAGTTATATTAAATAAAAGAATATTAAATAGTTAATTCGAGTAATACAACAAAAAAGTTGGAAACCATTGATATAAGCAATCCGAACAATCAAAACTCCAACTATTACTTGCGTTAGCGATAATTTTACATTACTAATGAAGCGTAAATTCGGGTTTAGATATAAAGCGCTTTTGTTTGCAATGGAACAATGAATGCTTGTATCACGGTTACCGTCTCATCGAAGACTAATAATATGAATGATACCCAATTTATCACCTCTCAAAATAGATTGTGCATCCGGAGGAGTATTTTATAAAATAAATATAATCTAGTACAGCATTATGCCTTAATAAACAAGTTTCCTATATTCAGAGAATTCTACATACCTATGTCGAACTGTGTAATTTCTGCGATCCTTTTGTCGCGCCAAATAAAAATTCTTATTTTGTGACAAAACATGTTCGTTTGTGTGTGAATAATTTAGATGATCTGTCAAATAATAAAGAGGTACACAATACACATTAAGAAGGATGTTTCAGTATGGTGAAAACATAAACTACTGACTACTGTCAGAAATGCATTTTGAAAATGAAGCTCCACGATGAAAATTGAATGATTCACCTCGAAACAAGATAGCGACGATTTTTTAAAATTTGAAAAAAAAAATTTTATGAACGATAAAGCGCACCGGATTATACGTCGACCTGTCAATGACTTGCCTAGATTGGGTATTCATCGGACCATGAAACGCAGCGGTTTAGAAAGTTAAAGTCAGTTTGTTTATGAAACAATAGCATCGGTACCGGTTTTAAGAGTAGGAAATAAAGCATAAAGTACTACCTGATCGATTCATTAGGCGGATCGTCTCATAAGGCGCACACCGATTTTTGAAGAAAAAATAGTATTTAAAGTGCACCCTAGGACGTTAAACACGGTATTGCAAAATATTCCATTCATTCTGGCAGCATTGTTTCAGCACACTGGTACGGGAAACGTGTTCATAGAAAATTTGTGTGATGCGCATTTATGAAAAATGTCAATTTCAACAATGTTTGTTTTAGGTCATTAAATCCCGATTTTATTGGCGCCCGAGGGACAAAGCGTGTAATTTTGGTAAATCCGACATCGTTAACAATAAACAGAACATTACAGAGTATTTGTATGTTTAACTAAGAGCAAAAATAAAGAAGCAAGAATTTAACCAAATGACAATTTTGTAAATATTCAAGAACGGGTTGAACAGACTATCGGATCATAATGGAATCTTGCGAAACCAACTTCTCAACTCTCTTGCATAACTTTCAAGTCCGTTCTACGTTTCAGCATGACACCGAGGCTGATAGTATATCCAGAAATAGATACAGATTTATCAGAAATGCCACCTCAAAGATGTTTCTAATTCGAGGCATACTGCTAGCAAATACCTCAAGCCCCTGGGGGTACTCGTAAGTATGTTCTAGCATGCTTGTAAGCAAAGGAGCATGCTTGTTAGCAAAGTAAATACTGTCTGATATCTGGTGTTTATATAAGGTTCATGTATATAACAGTTATTTTTTTAAATGAGTAGAACATGCATTAGAAATTTGTCCTGAAAAAATGTTTATTTTCAAATTTTTGACCTCCTTAAAAAGTTCAGTAAAATTGTACTATTAGCACATATTCAATTTTGGAGATTCTCATAAATATTCGGGTGACACTTCTCGATGACCAATACTAGTTAATCGCGTCTTCCTTCCCGCTTAAATACATTATTTTTATTTTACCTCACACTTTCGTGTTTTTGGTATGTGTAAAACTAAACTACTGACTGACTATTTGACCGCAATCCCTATTTGTATGCCCAAGATTTTCGTGAAAATAGCTGCTAAATTTGCGATTTTTTTAATTATAGTTATTGAGATAGTGTTTATATATAAACACGCATGGGCGGTAGATAAAGTGAGGTATTCTATGTACACAAGAAAATTGCAGTCTTTATTGCTTTATTTGTTTTGCTTGTGTTTATAAATAGGGTAAGAATTTGTTTTGGAATCTTGTTTAGACGTGTTTGATTTCTGTGAATGGCGGACTGACTGAAGCTCAATGATTTAAAAATAGTGTTAGTTACAAAAATCAAAGAGGTGATGCAGGTGTAATTTCTGCAGCGGCTGGAATTATTTTGCGTATATTAGACCAACTAAACGTAACGCTGTAAAGTATTAATCACAAAAATCAAAGACATTGGAGATAAAGTGGGACGGTAGTAATATCTATTATATCAGCATGTATAGAGCCGGGGCAAAAGGATAGATTAGGCGTGAAATACGAAAAATACTCGGACTCAACAGATTGTTATGGAATAGAAAAACTTGTTCTTGTAGGAAATATGGTGAACTATGATCTGGCTGTAAATTTGAGATTCATATCATTCCCGGCTCAAGTTCAGTTGACTGATCGGGTGGGAAAAATTTTGGACTTTCACAGTTATCCCCTCTCCCACTACATGGTGAATGCATGGATAAAGATGAATGAGCCCCATAAAAAATACTTTACTTCGTGAGTGTGAGTATTCATATATTATTGGTGTCGGATAACGGGAAAAAGTTCGAAATTTTTTACTTGACTTGATTGAGTCTCCCGCAACAAATCACATATCAGCTTTCAAATATTTATCTAGAATGTTGCATTGTTTATGCAAATTAAAGTCTCAAAATCTTGTGTACAAAGAGGAATCACCAAGCAGACTGCGGAATTTTGGACTAGTCCACCATTTGAACTGGAATTGTAAACAAATTTGATGTGAATCACTAATTTATTCTGTAATAAAGTCATCACCGATGCATTATTAAAGGGTGCTGCATACAAAGAGCTTTTATATGAGCGGAGAAATTTTAATAAAAACCATCAAATATAAGTAGACTCGTCTTTTTTGTTGTAATTTTCATATATATTTTATCTAGATTAACCATAGAGTATGACATTAGCTTATGAAGAGAATAATAATAATTATAGGCGGCGAGCGCCAATGTTTACCAGAAGTTCTGGACTTCAAAATGGAGATTCCGAAAACGAAGAACACGATTCGGACACTGTGTCCGAACTTTTCGGACCAAGTCCGAACCGATCAACTCCACGGGCTATAAAAGGACATAAACGATCCCGAAGCGATTATGGAAATAACTTACAACCGTTGTCAATGCCACAAAACCCGCAAACTCACTCTGTTCCCGCATTTATGAGGAGCAACAGTAGTGGAAGTATGAGAAGACCTTTATCATTTATAGCCGGCCTTGCCAGCAAAGTAAAAAGTGCTTTTGAAATAAATAAAGATCCGAAAAATTCGGACAAATGGACGTTTAACGGGACCGAATTTGACTCTTGCAACAGTGAGAACTCTTCCCCCAGTATGCCACGAAAATCAATCAATACTTATCCACGTATCAGAAAAACCAATGACAGACTTACTGTGCCCTCCGACCGTCAATGGCCCAGTAGACGCAAAAAAGTTCTGAATCCTGCATTTGCCGAAGTTATGGATATACTCTCCGTTCCGTCCAGTCCGGAATTAGAACGCGAAGCCCCAACTTATCCTCCCCTTCCACGAAACAAAAGTACTCCATGTGTCGAAAGCGATCGTCGACCATCTGACATCATCATTGAGCAGCCAAATGACGTCATCAAATCTATTGACGCAAACAAATCAAGTGACGTAAATGTTCTAGTCATAGGATCAGAAGGAGTCGGGAAATCTGGTGAGGAATTATAATAATATTCATTTTTCCGCGTAGATTTTTTATGTCGAAATTTTCCGGGTGTATTCATTTTTTTGGTAAAGAATCCTATGTTCTCCACTTACATACAATCATGCTATTGCGCTAAGCCAACGAGCTAATAAACTTGACTCATGAATGAAAGGTATGGTTCTCTTTTAGACGCTATGCTGTATTAATGCCTTCCGTATTTCAGGCGTGCTTTTGTGTCACGGACCCCCACTTTTACTACCCAGAAACGGCTATTAGAATTTTTTCCGTTTTTGTTCTTAGTCTTCATCATTTGATGAAAAAGTATTTGAAACATGGATCTTTGGTATAAATAGTATTGGATTAGATAAAGGTATAGTATTTCCAACGTTATCACGTGTTATGCACGATAAACTGCTATAGTAGCAATACTTTTGTTTTAAGAATAAAACAAGCTTATTCTAAACGTAAACTTAAAGTTTATTATGACCAATCACACATAATGAAATCTGATGTACACGAGGAAAAATCCGGTTAAATCGCATCAGCGTCTTTTTACCTAGTGAGCCAGAAGAGGGGTGATTGATACAGTTTTCATTTTTAAATAAATCACTTAAAAAGTAACTTTCATCTCACGCTATCTGAGTATCAAGTTATCTTCGCCCCAAGAACTTATTAAATTAGTTCATCTTGCATCCATGGCTGCTTGTGTAGAATTTTGTCTGGAGCGAATGTGGAAAACACCAGAAGACAGTGGTTCCTAACTGGGGGTCTGTGGCCGACCAAGAGAAGTTTGAGGGAGGCCACTATGCTAGACGCAAAACTATTTTACTTTTGCTTTACCAGAAAACTCCCCGTTTTTCCAGTTTCATTGCTTGATAAGGTTTCTTCACAGATTGTTTTACCTTTCTTGAACATGAATTCTTTGAACATAATTGCATTTGGAATCTATCAATAAAAGTAACACTATAAATACCCCCGGAATGATAAACGAGAAGGCCATGACAGCTAATATCCTATACAGAAGGGAAATATAAGAAATTGGGAACCACTGCCATAGGAAAAATATATCTATCGTTTTCAATATGGAACCATCACGTGATTAGAAGTAACTTACGTCTCACGCTAGCTGGGTATCGAGTTCTCTTCGTACGTTTGATTTAACGGCGATAGTGCAGAAGAAAGTCACGGGCAATTGAGATCAGGGGTTTGAAGATTGGTTGGATTGCACTGTATAAAAATAATAAATATAAAGCGCTTCTGGATTTTTGAAACAAAGCCCCCGTCACTAATGCAAAAATGTGAGATTCGAGAAAAACACCAGCGCCATGTTTCCAAAATAAAAAAATTAGTATTTATCCAGTTCGAATTCGGGTTCGGTTCAGGATTGATTTAAAATTTGAGTTTTCTGCGCAATTTATATTCCTATCTCTAATGGATAATTACTAATTTTTGTATTTGGAGTGATAACGTTCTTTTTTTCAAAAATCGTGGCGCTTTGTAAAAATGTTAGTGGTTCCTTGATTAAACGGTTTTGCAGTGAAAAAGTGAAAATAATGTAAAATGTCTAACTGAATTAGCCAAGATCAACCCAAATGTATATGCTTGAAAATATTTAGCCTTTGTACGTTTTCCATCGTTTTTTTATTCAATATTTTCCCTAACCTATTTTTTTATTTTTCGTCGCAATGCCATGACTATTATTTCAGTAATTTTTGACGTCACCGTATTCAAAAATTTGCCTCATTTTAGGTCTAAGTTCCGCTTCTTTTGTGAGTTACGAGTCACGCAAACCACATTATTTTTGGAAAAACTTGTGGCTTTTGCTGCTTTTATTGATAGTTTTGTCCAATAAAAATGCTATTATCATTATATTAGTATTCGTAATTTATGTTAATAAAAGTTCCGGTTCGGGGTAGGAAAGATTAAATTTGAATATTGATCGCAAACTGTGTTGATAACTCTAACTGGAGAGTTACTAATTCTTTTATTTAGAGCGGTGGCGGGTATGTTTTTTTTGGTGGGAGATTTCAACTAAAAATCACGTTTATTATTGCAATTCTTACAACGTGATGTAACCATGACGCTTGAAAAGTCAGGCCCTCATAAATGGGTCCGACCTATTCAAGGCATTTCAGTAGCTCGGTAAAATAGCGAACGCGCAATGCCAGATAGAAATGCTATTATATAGATTTGTTTCTACATCCCAAACTCTTACGACTTACGATTACTCACACTATATGGAAAGATAAGTTATTGTATAATAACAAAAATTTCAAATGCGGGCACAACAGTTATGCAGTATTAAATTCCCATCCCTGTTAACTTAAAGTGTCCGGACGTCAATGGTGATCAACTGATCTTCTTGGCATCAGTTAAACTGCATGTAAGTCTAGCTTGTAGCGTAAGGGGGAAAAAATGTGGAGGAAGCTGGTTAAACCTCCTTACGACGACGATGAGTCCAAAAATCCTCACGCAAATGGATAGCACAATGACTTCACTCGCCCTATTGCCAGTCAATCAAAACACCCTCAATGTAATAGCAACTGTAATTCTATTTATTGCAATTTGCAACGTTAATTAAGCAGTGAAAAAGGTTAAGTTTTTTCTATTGTGTTATCAACCTTCTATCGGAGTATTAGGCAATTCGCGATAGGAAAAAAAAATCCGTAGCGCTTTGTGAAAATCTTAGTGGTTTCTTGTTTAAACATTTTTGGAGTGAAGTTGCGAAAACTCAGCGTAAAATGTTGAATGGAGTTAGCCAAGATCAACTTGAATGCATATACTTGAGAACATTTAGCCTTTGTACGTTTGTTGTTGTTTTGGTTTTTATTTTTAATTTTTTTCCCCTTTTCTCGTGTTTTTTTTTAATATTCCACTCACGCGAAAACGTCTCACCGTCATGACTACTTTTACCTGGAATACTTCCAGTAATTTTTGACATCCCCCCATTCAAAAATCCGCCTCCATTTTAGGTCTAAATTCCGCTTCTTTTGTTTACAAATCACAAACCACATAATTTTGAGAAAAGAACTTGCGGGCTTGGCCGCTTTTATAAATAATTTTATCCAATAAAAAGGCTAATATCTTCATATTAGTATTCGTGCTATGTGTTATATTAAATAGTTTAGGTGTGTCAAATCATGTATATATATACAATAATAGACATAATGAAATTATATTACGTTTCTGACGTCATAGTCACAAACACCATTGTCACTTTATAACGTCATAATGACATATTGTCGATTTCTCCCGCCAGATTGCAGGGTTCGTGTAGACGGCCTGGCTACCGAGTAACGCAAGATGTTTTCTTTTATCCGACGCATAATCACGTCTTTTGCCCCAAACAAGCGTCCACTGATATCTAATGATATGTGAGGAGTTACTATTATTAGGAATAATCCTATCAGGGCCGTAACTATGGGAAGGAGCATATTAATAATCGGAACCCCTAGCCCGACCCTGCCTTGACGTAAATTTTTTATCACACACAACTCAAGACGTTTAAAAACATTTTCGGACCCGCTACCCAATACGGTCTGATTAGCAACTATAGACCCCTTTGAAAATTACTGGCTAACCCTAACCCATGGACCGAACAATTCCATAAGTAATACTGTATTTGGATTTTCCCTTGTCAGGTTGAAGGAATTTGTATTTAAAACATCAACCTAGTCTGAGATACAAAGGATAGAAAAAGATGGCATTTTTTCTGAAAACCATTACTTTCTTTTAGAAATGGTAGCTACTCCGCCTTTCAATTTTGGCATTATTATACTAGATTGTTTCTATACCCGTGGGTTGCAACCCAAAGCTGAGTCGTCTAAAAATCCTTTCGGGTGACTTTGTTTTCAAAGAAAGAATTAGGATATTAATCATTTTATCCCCCTAGTAAAGTTGATTGTTTATTTTGTACTAGTGTTGCTAAGTGGTTATTGTATGTGTGGGGAATATGCAAGCATAAAAACTTGGCAGCATTCATTTTGCTAATGAAAGGCCACGCGATTACTTGCTGTTTGGTATTTGAGAATTTTTTTGAGTTGCCAGATTTTACAAAATTTATTTTTGAAAAATTTAGGTCGATTAAAAAAAATTGGGAACCACTTTTATACAGGGTATGTTTCTCATACCAGTGGTTCCCTAACTTTTTATGCCGCGCCCTCTTTTTAGAATTTGTCAATTCACGCGCCCAACATCAAAAATAACTAGCTAACAATAAGCCACAAATACCAGATAATAAGGCAAAATATGATTTAATAAACCGACCGTTTAAGAACCACTGCTCTAAATTGTTTCCCATTTCATACATTCCCTCGCGTGCCGATGTAAACGCAAATTTTGCGTAAATGCGGTTTCGAAGAAATATTTTTCAACGAAAAATTGTGAGGTCGACAAGGTGAATGCAATGCTTATTTTTCTAACCCAATATTGCGTAAAACCGGTGAAAGTACTTTTTAGCGCGAACGGGGATTATAAACATGAGCTCATGAGGTCAGTTTTGTCACAAGTCCATCAGAGGTAATCAAAATCAGTATAATCATTGATTGAACAAAGGTTAAGTACATTTTAGTACCACCGGGCTTCATGAACAAGGGTATATGTGAATATTTATCTCTCAGGTAATCAGAAGATACGTCATAAAGTGAAGTAAAGTTACAATAGATGCATTTTAGCAGGAACTTGGATATAAACAAACGCTTATGTGATTAGTTTTGTCACGTGTCCGTCTTAGGTAATCAAAAGAAGACTCCATAAAAGTTAATTTTTGTATATATGAACATAGGTTAGAAACATTTCAGCACAAATGTGTATATAAATTAGGATATCGACAGTAGGTAATTTTAATGGTTAATCTCAATCGACAAATTGTCAACTTGGAACGTGCAATAAATTACAATTCTATTCAAAAATATTTCTCAAACATACACATAAAGAGCGGCGCATTCATGATGAAACTTGGATAAGGTTATTATTCTTTATGTATTTAACAATTAGAAGTATCATTTATT